TCCGCCTTCCTCTTCCATCGTCTGTGGACTAGACGTATTTAGGCTGGGGTTCCACTCCTATATTGTGGATATTCCCAAGATTCGCACGTAGCGTTTTGCTTCCACATTTATACGGCGAGCCGCTAAGGAGTGGAATTGTCTACCTGCGGACTTATTTCCCGAAAGCTAAAACTTGGACCTCTTCAAGGCGAAAGTATGCATGCTTGCTACATCGTTGACCTCATCGTCACTTCTATCAGGTGAGTTGGAGGTCAAATGTGCACTTATTTTTTAATAAAAAAAATCCCGAGCGGTGATAGCCGGATGAGGAACAGTTGCTTTCTGGAATTGGGAGTTCCTTGGTTCGAATGCTCTATGAATTTCATTTCTGAACGTTGGAATTACCTATCGCTAAAGTTAAAACTTGCATATCAGAAAAGATTCACTACCTAGACACTAGATAGTTAGAACTAACGTAGGGTAGACCTGTGTTCAGCAGTAGATGTTTTATTTTACACATTCATCTCCATCCCTCGCAAACTCGTTGGTTACTTCCTTAGGTTCCATATTATCGTTCACATAATATATCCAAATTGACTGTAATTTACAGCAGTCTTCACAAAGACATAACTGCAGGTATACGCTTCTATTATTCGTTTACGGTTGATAATAAAAATTTGACATTTACGAGGTTTAAAATTATAGTGAAACAAAAACTATATCCTCGTACCTAATCTTTCTGTTTGTCTTAATTTATGATGTTTCAAATGAATACTGTAAATGATAAATGTCTACAAATGCCCATTTACAAAGGGCGATTCAAAGAGTTTCTTACTCATTCTCAAGGAATCGCCTTAAGAACGGTAGAGTTCAAAATAAATCCTGATACATGTTTGCCTCTCACGAGTATGTTTACGGGTATATTTTTGGTGATGGTTCGTGACTGTAGTTGCACTTGTGTTACTACCTTGATTAGTTTTATGCTACTGAAATAGGCTGCTTTTTGTCACAAAAGTAAGTCTTAAAGTAAAATTGGGGCTGAAAGTTTGTATGGAGAACCAGAGAAATTATGAAAATTACTATAGTACAGTAGGTTATTGGAAGTACTTATTCTACCCAGACGAAGTCGCGGGAAGCAGCTTGATATTAATAAAAACAAACGAACACCCCATATGTCAAACAATAACAATGGGCAACCTATATATCGAACAATACGGGACCGTAGTACAATACAGCATGTTCCAAAGAGTGTAGCGGCGAGGAGGCGGGGCGGCCCGCCTCCGCGCGCGAGCAATTACGCGGCTGGCCGGAGACGCCAGGTAGAACTAACCTCAATCCTTCCTTAATCTACATAATTTGTCAGTCAAGCTCTTCAAAACAGACGACAAATCTTCAATGATAAATGAGTTACTAGTTATTGTAACGGGTCTACAAAAGTTTAGAGATGCAAAGATAAATAAATGTAGGTGCAAATAGCTTTTATTTATGGGATTCTTTTAACAAGGCTGACAAATTTGGTTGTCATTGCTGTATTTTGGAATTTAAAAAACTGAAAGAAATTTAAAAAATCCTTAATTCTATGACTAATTAATATTAATTCTTCTGCCATTTCGTGATGAGAGTGAATAGGCATTGTACAAGTGTGTATGCTGCATTATCGACCTCATCACTTTCCATCTCATGTGATAGAGATAATGATAATAAAAAAGACGTAAGTAAGTTAAAGTACATACTACCTGACATTCTAAACAAAATATCTGTACATTTACTAAAAGATATGTTTATAAATGCTAAGATTTCTTTGCATTTGCAAAAAAAATTCGCAAAATTACTGTCTAAGTACTTGTTTTGTTATGGTACTTGTAATAAAAGTGGCTAGTTACATTGCGGTCCATTCTATTATCGTGTAAACCCTTTAAAGGGGTTTTTGAAAGGCGTCTTACTATACTTAAGTTTTAGTTTAAGTATTCTGTTTTTTAATAAATAAATAAAAAAACTAATAGCGGGACCATTTCAGTAAAAAAATGTTACAATTACCTAGTGTTCAGCTTATATTAATTTCGTGTTTTAGTGCGTTCTAATCTGTGATGATACTTTGACGATCTCGGTGGTTCAGTGGTCAGTACTATGAGCACTAAATGGAGAGGTCCTGGTTTTGAATTCTCTGTAAGATCAATTTAGGGAACAAACTATTCTTAAATTATTGATTTAGATCTGATCGATATGTTATAAAATGAATGACCTTACTAGTGTATTATCCAGATTGTCCACTCAGGTACTACCAATTACCTACTTTAAAATAGTTCGTGTACTTTACTGACACGTAGTACTTCTAAGCTATAGGATGATAACTGTTTAATGTCAATAAAACTATCTATATAAATCACCAAAGGGAATTCGGAGTGAATAGTTTACGCCGCGAATTTCAATTGTTTGTGTAAACCTTTTGCGTGGCCAATTTGTATTTTATTGACTGAACAAAACGAATGAGTTATAACGCGTGTTTGTCGGTGGGTAGGCGGTTGCCCGCGCTTGTTTAAAAGTGTATTGACGCGCGCCCCCACCTGAATTTTAATATTGTTCATTGCTATACCTCCAAAAATTATTCAGAAACTACTGATTAGAATTTTCACAATCAAGTTTAGTTCCATTTCGTATACCAATGAGCTACTGAGAATTGTTATTACGTAGCAACGACGAAAAGTAATTAAGTACATGATAACAACTTTACACGCAAAAAAAATTATAAGAAAACTAAAAATTCCCGCTATGAGACAGCTACGGTTTCCCGTAGCGTTGTCTACGCTGCAAATAGGTAAATATTTCCTGTAATTTCGTTACCCGCGAAACACTGCTTTCTGAAATACAAAAGCGTGGAGACATTGAACAAAATGGCGTATTTAAATGGGCGGCAACTGCATTGTTGGCACATCGATATATCGTCTATCCTTCTCCCACTCGCGCCATTCTGTCGCAGTGTCTTTATTTTCGTTTCTCATTCAGGTCCAAACAATGCACTAACGCTTAGAAAAAGCTACGCAGATTTCAAACTTATCACGTTACGTTAAAGTTGGAACTCGATTGGTAAAATGTGAGGGTATCACAGCCGTGATAAATGCGAAACTGTTGCACATGCTCCATCCCTCTCTAACATGCGAGAAAGGATATTTTTGTGTGTACATCTCTTTCGCGCGAAGTAATGTGTTGTTGTGTGTTGTGATATCTCTGAAATAACAGGGAAGCACTCGCTACGAAGTTGTCATTTGTAACGGTTTTGCGAAGTACAGATGGCAGACAAATCAAAATAATATTCATTCAAATCTTTCCACTTATTGTGTGTACTGCTAAATGAGTGCTAAATAAATGTAATATAAAAACATAGCATTAAAGAAAGGTGTTAAATATGCTTAATATGGAAGAAAAGAAAAATATAACCATTTTCCACTTCTAACGCTTTCTTATGGCTAGAAAATTTAATCTACAAAGGCCAATGCCTATTTTCAACTCGCAAATTTTGTTGTAAAAACAAAAATATGTTATAAAATTGAAGTAAGTTGGAGAAAAAATTTTTTTTTAATATGTAGTACCTAGGTACGTAATTAAAATATTGTAGATATTTGTTGTGGATCGACTAGTGCTAGTCGTTTCAAGACTTATATTTTGACATTTTATTTTAAGCGTCGTTTGCATTTGCCATGATTTCTCTAACGTTGGTACAATAATTATGATCGAAAATTACAATGTTTGTGAACCGATAAATCTTCCTTAACTTGAATTTGACTATCAACTTCTAAGTTGTCAGAAAACTCGAGAAGAAATTATCTGAACATTGGGAAAATCATGTAGCCCACGTATGGAGTCTCCCAGAACGCTTTGCAGGATGGCTTGCACGCTGCGACTACATTCATAATTCAGCATTACGCGGCGGACGACGAGGCGGACTGAAATGCAGGATGCCCCCTTATAGTGATGCTATGTTCAAAACTAAATACTAACGACGTATTCAACTTTTTTAAACTGTAATTATCAGGTTGGTTTTCTCTACCTAATTTCCGTGGTAATTGTTATTATTTAAGTATTCGAATACATCATCGTTTAATATTATATAATATCTCAGGACACTACTCCTGAATATGTAGCAATGACTTATATAAGTAATATTAAGACAATATTATAAAATGTTTAAATAATGAAAATTAGGTACCACCAAAATTAGGTAGAAAAAACTAACCTGAAAATTACCCTTGAAGTATTTTTAAAAAAGTAACATTTTTGCAGTAAATAAATAAATAAAAAGATATTTATTTCTCCACAAAACATAGGGAACAGAATACTTAAAAAACGAATAGAAAAAAAGAATTAAGTGATGTGGACAAAAAGGTTAAAGACTCAGCATTGCTGATTTTCAGTCTTCACCTGTAGCTAGCTAGCTGTTCTCATTAGTCAATCATAGTGAATCTAAGTGTTACTTTTGATGTGTACCCAGTTGGGTACATACCAAAAGTAACACTAAAGTAAGTAATTCTTATAGGCTCGAATGGTGAAACAATGAAATCAATTTTAGATATGTATTGGTATACTTATACCTTAGAATAATATTTAGCTTGTACTATAAATGAATATATTAATGTTAACTGTTAACAAATTTCAAAAAAATGTTACTTAAATCAATTTTTCCTTTAGTCCTTTATTACTTACTTTAATATATTTGCTTCAAAAGTCAAGTTTTTATCTACTCATCCATGCTCCACATATGAAGTAGATCGAATATAATATTTAGTTATTATCAATAGCAGTACATTTGAACTTAATTTCGATAGTCGTTTTAATGAGATAGATTTACTGATAAGTATTAAGATCCGTAACGTTCGTTGGTGACGGTACCCATTGCCTCAAGGCAGGGCGCGTGGCTGGAGTGGGGCGTCGCTAAACAAAAACACGTACACGGTGAGCTAGCGCGACGGTGATTGGCTGGCGCGGTTCGGCCCCGCGGCAGAGGACGCGCGCCGCCTGCCGCGCCGCACTGTGCGCCGCGACCTCGCACCGGCAACATGTGCAGTGGCCCCGAAGGAGGCCCCTGGCCACTCGCTAAGGACGCACCAACTGTGGCCGCCGCAGCACTCGACCACTACCGTCTCCAGCTGTACAATTATGCTGTGGCCGAACGACTGCGCCTGTATCCGCCTGCTGTAGCGCCATGCTATCCGCCGTACGCGCCGCGACTTGCGCTGTCCATGCAGCTGCTGCAACAGCGCGTGCTGCAGCCCGAGGAACCAAAACCACAGCATAGCTACATCGGCCTCATTGCGATGGCAATCCTCAGCTCGCCCGAGTGTAAACTCGTTCTCTCCGACATCTACCAGCACATTCTCGACAATTACCCGTACTTTCGATCCCGCGGGCCCGGTTGGCGGAACTCCATTCGACATAATCTGTCGCTCAACGACTGTTTCGTGAAAGCAGGACGATCGGCGAATGGCAAAGGGCATTACTGGGCGATTCATCCGGCAAATATAGAGGACTTTCGTAAAGGTGACTTCAGAAGACGCAAAGCTCAGAGAAAAGTGAGGAAACACATGGGTTTAGCGGTGGACGATGACGGCGAAGATTCTCCTTCGCCACCTCCTTCATCACCGCCGCCGACAGCGCTGCCACTGCCTTTCTGGGGAGTGGCCCGGCTGCCTGGCGGGGGACAGGCGCGCAAACGGCAGTTCGATGTGGCGTCGCTGTTAGCACCTGATGATGCGCCAGAGAAACGAGCGCGGAGGGAGAGCAGTTGCGAAGATGAACCTGAAGAGGACATCGATGTGGTGGCGAGTGATCAAGAGGAACGAAGCGAGGAGGAGGCACGACGTCCTCTAGCGCCGGCGGCGCACTACCCATTGCTACCAGGCTGGTGGCCGGCACTGGAGCCTGCGCTACTGCAGCAACTGCGCCGTCATGCGCCTACAGCGCTCCCCAGTCCCACCGACCAGCAACGCCCGCCAGATACTTAAACTGAATGTGAATGTGTGCTCTAAAACTAAATGATGATGTGAATCGCAGTATCGTATGTAGACCTGCCGTGATATGTTAATGTTGCCTGTTGGATACTCATCGGAACGACGACAATTTCGACATTTCTTCTCCCGCCAGCTTTATAACAGTTCTGACTATAATTTCTATTCAACTATACGTAGATCGTATAAATTCTTTTGTGTTTTTCTATTATACTGTTGAAGACTTTCCTTCCACGTTGTGGTAGTTCATGTTCCATCTACTTACTTAAAAAACTATTCTCTTTTCGTACTAAGTATACTTTCGTAATAACATTGTTCTATGAAGTGTAAATTATTGTAAATTTAGTGTACGTATTTACTCTACTTAAAGCTGTACTTAGAACGGCTATTGTAGTAATATCTGAATCTAATGATTAAAGTCTGATATCGACCAATCGCCTGTAGATACTCATAGGTCTATTTGTAAATAAATAAAATGTGTATATTATATACACTGTATACTTACTGTTATAATTAGTAACCTGTAAACCTACTGTTGTTTATTTACTAGAAACCTTCTTAATTATAAGAATATGAACTCTATAAAATCTCTGAATAAATAGAAGTCATAATACATATTTCATGCTTTAATTTCTACCAAAAACCCCGTCAATATTGGGTATATTGGCAAATGAGTTAAGGTATATTCAAAGTATACTATAAAAACAAGACGAAAGCTAATTTACTCAGACCTTCCATGTCTTTGTAGGAAAAATATCTACCTTCATAAATTAGAGTATAATATACGTTCTCTCGTAACATTTATCTTATAAATGAAAACCTTATTTCATTAATGCATTACTATATTTATTAATACAAAATTAAGAAAAGGCACTACAGTATCACAAAGGAAACAAATGTTGTTTATCTAAATTCCTGCATGCTTACAAAAAGGACGTGCAGTGGGTAATAATGAAAAAAATGTACTAAAATCTCTATTTGTTTTTGCACGTTCATTTTTAATCTATTTGTACGTAGAAGAAAGGAATAACCTCAGAAAACAGTATTAGTCATAAATTTCTCACGTAGAATAAAAGGAAAATCTACAAATTCGAGGAAGGGTCAAGTGATTATCTAAATAACATTCTTATCTATTGTTTGGACCTTTTTAAATAGTGCTAATACTATATTGTTTACTAATCGGTCTGAGAACTTGCATTTGTATTTCCATACATTTTTTTATAAATTACGTTTTAGAAAATGATTACTGCTAATAATTACGCAAGTATTTGTAAGAAAACGCTTAGTTACGTATTATTCAACATTTAATCAGCCACTACTCACACCAGTTATAAAATTACGTGTGGTTTGCCTTTTGAGGCAATGAATGGCATTAGCCAGTCAAAGAAAATGTTCAAGGGGACAATAAAATCACTTGCATATCGGCTACAACAATATAAAAACCAATTCCCATTAATATTTATATCGTCCGCATGGCGATTGTGTGATAAACAATTTTTTCGGCAATTTGTGGTTAGTATTATTTGGGATTGGATGATATGGAATCCCTTTGATTTAAACAGCCTTTTTTTCTATTTTGATGTTATCACTTTTCACTTTTACCACTTCACATGAACACGAACAACAGTAGCACGATACTAGTATAGGTATTATTTATATATCTGTGTATTTATTTACATGTAGGTATTGTACATACGCGAAACCCAGCGGTACCGAATTATTTTCGTAAACATTTGAGGTTAAGAAATGAGCGAATATAATTACTATTGGTATAATTTTAATCCAAAAAAATGTCAATTCAAATATTAATTTTAAATCTGTAATAAAAATTTCAAATATTAATGTTAAGGCAAACTTTTCATTCATTACTTAAATACGATTACGATGGCGATGTTCTAATACTGATATATTTATATATGTTTTCAAGAAAAACACCGGATAACTGAAATGTAGAACAAACTAATGAATATTAGCTATATAGTAGTCACAAACCCATGAATATACCTTATTTCTTAACTTTTAACAGGGAGTATATTATTACATTAATCTTCCGTAAAATTTTAATACTTTCTTGGTTCTTGCAAAAGAAGTTCGATATCTACCCAGGATGCTGCGTGAGGCTAATGAAATTAAAAATATATCTTAATTTCAACAGGGAAGATGGTTTCTCTGTACCTTTACCTTTACTTACTTACCTTTCTGACTACGGACGCTGAATTACAGACTCGTACAACAGAAGATGCTTAATTATAAGAATTCACTGGAGTCAATACTCGAAAACGATCGCACCAAAATCTATTGGGACCGATCCATTATCACAGGCAGGACTAGTATTGCGAATAAACCTGCTATTGTGATATTGGATCGATCACAGTTGAGGGTATTTCGAGTGGACTGTATTGTTTCATTCGAAAACGAGTTAATTCCAGTTAGTCTCGCTAGCAGATTGAGGCGGTTGGAATTCTGTGGCGTGTCGCTTTCAGTGCAAATGTAGAAGGTCGTCCTGCTTTCGTCTGTCGTATGCTTCGCCCTTTCTTGAACCTGAGTCTGGGACCTAAGCTTTGCCGGAGAATACCGCCTCTCCCATCCAAAAATTCAAAATTAATCTTTTAATCCATAGGCGAAGGCACGAGTCTAAAATAGACATAATAATAATAATAATAAAATAGATAAAATAGGTAGTATAAATATATAATAATAATAAAACATACACTCATAGCCGCACACTAGGGAAACCCTGTGTCGCGGGTGCCATGGATACATCGAGTATATAACCAGACATGGACACCACGTCGACAACATACCAAATTACACTCAAACTCACGAGAGAAATAAATGTACCATAAAAATATTTTTCCTGGCCCGGGTATTGAACCCGGGACCACTGCGTGGCAGTCCAGCATGGTAACCGTTCGGCCACCGAGGCAGTTACAAAATTATGAAATAAGTATATGTAGCGTAAATTGGAATGAAAAAGAAATGATCTTTGAAAAATTCAAAATAAATTATTTTAATAATTACTTTTGTAACTATAGTGAAAAGTATGGTGGTTTGCATTAATATTTTACCATCCCAGTCAGCCGTGACCATGGGACCTTTAAAGGGCCCAAAACGTTGGTTTCTTTGGAAAAACAAATATACGCAATTTAGATCCGAAAAGAATAGTTTAATTTCCTATATGCAATAATCACGAAAACCTAAGAACTACCTAAAAACGATATTTAATAGTTTCCATTAGAATTTTAGAATATAGTGCTTTTCAGCTCTAGTGTAAATTGTATTTATTTCTAAATATCTATAAGCCCAATTCGAAACATTACTAGCCAGTAGATTCTGTTAAATATTTATTAAAGTACTTTACTTATAATTATACAATTTTGAATACTTAAGATTATGTAGAAAATTGAATAAAGGAAATTGAAAAATCAATGAATTTATTAAATAGTTTTATTTTATATTGTATTAAATTAATTTTAAGACAGATTTTAGGGCTTTTATTTTATTTATTTCTTTATTTATAATTCAGACAACTTAATAGGTCCACAATTGTGTTAGAAACTCTTAGCCTACGTTAGTACTTAATAATTAATAATGATTTCATGTTTTGAGTGAGTTTCCACATCTAAGGACTATTGAGAAGCTTTTAAAATTTTATGTACACTAAAATCACGTGTATGTGTTTCGAACCTTTTTTTTTAAAAAAAAACTGTCGGTAAATGTTTAACTGCCTCTGTAGCCGAACGGTTACCATGTTGGAGTACCACTGGAGCTGCTCCAGAGTAAATCCTAGTAAGGGACAAATTTTGGAAAATCATTATTTACCACTACTACTCCCATGGTAAGTACTCACCTAAACGCGCTGATAGCCGCATCAAAATTATACAATTATCAGAGATTTCGAAACTTCGAAAACCTAATAAGGTACCTACCTAGTTTGGGTCGTGAACAGAAAAAAAATTATGTTTAAATTACATTACTTTTGTGCCACGTGAATTGGTTATTCAAAACATAGCAAGTATTTGACACTTGCTAGATTTTAAAGTAGTAAAAGTGCTTTACTATGTATTTGATTTGGCAATTAGTGGCTGGAGGAACTTTACTGATTCTGAAAAATCTTAGTCGTTTTATTCATTTAATTATTCAAACAAAATTAAGTGTTATTCCAATTTTGTAATGCAATAACTAAACCAAATACCTAGAAAATGCATATTGTGTTTTGATTCTGGCTGCTACAATAACTTTACTTATGTACATAAATATCTAAAGTTAGTAAGGGACAAAATATATAATAATTAGTAATAATAATATTAAATTGTGATTCTTTCTTGTGAAATTTTCTCTAAACCACTACTAGGTTTTGTTATGTGAAAGCCGAGATAGTCTGTTGCAGCCGAAATCAAGACCCAATTATATTGTGTTTTACGAATACTTACTCATAAAAACATTGAAAAATTTGATGTTGTACTAGTTGTGTTATACGGCTGTCAACGTTATTGCAAAGTTTTAAATTCTCGCCTGCAGCTCGGGCTAATGGTGTCAACTTCTATACAATAATGTGCTTTCCTCCTTAGTAAAACAGTACAAGGTTTTTTACCATCAATACGGTAATAGTATAGAATAAAATTGTAAAATAAACTCTAAGTCTATATTGCATAGGCATGTAATGCACAACGAATATATAAAAACAACCACTAGCTACTATAATATAGCAGATGTGGTTTAATATTGAAATATGAACCAAAAGCTATCTGTTTTATTCACACCGCTTACTCCCTCATCTATCTTTTAATATATTGAGTTGTTTGTTAAGTAGTGCATCAAATTTAATTCAGTTTCAATAGCTTTTCCATCATGTAATAATCTCAATAGAACCGGCGGCTGTCAATCAGTCAGCGGATGGTGGACGGGTGGCGGACGGCCTCTAATTTGCGCCGTCGCACCGACAAAGCACACTATTTTGGATCAATTCTAATTGAAGTAGATATCTTTTTACTTCATTAAAATAACAGTAATTTCGTTTAGGATTTTAACAACACTGTTGTGAATAACAAACTTTGAGAAGGCATCGTCTCTAATGTACATAATCGAAAACAAAGAATTCACAAAACATTTTGTTTGTTTTACAATATACTAATATATTGTAATATAGTTAGGTACATATATTCATCCAAAGAAAACGCAAAATTAATCACTTACTTTATTTAACTTTATTACAAACTAAAACAAGGAATTAAACGCAATGGTTAAATTTTTTTCTGTTTCATTCAGACCTTTTGAAAGTAAATAAAATACAACATGGAGATTCCAAACTTTTAAAAGGCATAAAAGATTTCAAATAGGTAAGGGGGTTAATGTGAACCCGGACTTGTGGCTGTTATCAGGGTTATCAGGTAAACAATAGCAGGTGGTAATCCGGCACGGAAGGGCCGATGCGTCAACTTCCTGAGCATTCTCTCGCTGTGTATTGTTGTGCCTCGCGTAAGCCGAGATTATTTGTGATTATTGTCATGTTCATGTAAACATTTTTGGGTTTGCTTCTTTTAGCCGATATAATCTA